TGATCTCCATTCATATTGATGGAGATTATGATAAATTACATAATATGGGATGTTGATGTGCTTCGATGTATTATAGGCGGTTGGGCTCCGACATCACGGAAGATACTCATTTCTGCAGATAATGTTTCGATTCCTTAAATAGTTAAGTCGTTTTTATACTAGACAAACAACAATCATGATTACGTAGATATATATTTGAATACATAAATAATATAAGAAATATCAACTAAGATTGAGACGTAACAGTTTGACGTCTAAAGAAATAAAGGAAGCTCGTCTTCTAGTGGATTTCTTTGTACAATCCTTTTTGGACAGCTGTCATACGTTGTAATCGTTTGTGTTTTTACCACACGTTGTGATTTCTCTGGAGCATTGGCAGTAATAAGATAAATTTTTCACCAAATTATTTTCGAACACTATGAGTAGTTAAAGCTTTACGTAGAGAGAAGTGGAAGGAGGATAGGCTTATGTCCTGCAGTGGAACGATCATGGCTAAAAAATGAATGAATTAATAAAAGTTTTAAGTGTCCCACACTTAAAAAGAGCCATGCTTCGGCACGAATGGGCTGGCTCGACCGGAGTGATACCAGAGCCTCACAGAAAATCGACGTGAAACAACGCTTGCGTTGTGTTTCGTCGTGTGAGTGAGGGTACCGGAGGCCCAATTACCCTAGTCCCCGTCTCTAGTCCCCGTCCCTAGGCCCCGTCTCCTGAATCCCCGAATCCTCCACAATCCTCAAATTCCCAATTCCCAAAAGGCCAGTAACGCACTTGTAACGCCTTGGTGTTTTGAGTGTCCATGGGCGGTGCCGATTGCTAACCACCAGGTAATCCGTCTGCTCGTTTACCGGTATATGCTATAAAAAAAGTAAATAAATAATGAGTAGTTAAGTAACTTTAACTCTATTTTTGTGTTCTTATTTAAGGGGTTTGAGTTGAAATAAACACTTTTACATGTGTTCTAGAGTTAGATTTTGGAAAATACTCTCAATTCGATTCACGTCTGACCAGTTACAAAGTAGCTGTTTTTACTAGACTACACATAGACACTGATATTAAACATTTTAGAATACTAAAATATCTAAATATATATATTTTACTCGAATATAAAACCAAATATGTAATCGGATAATCGATTTTTTTTTGACCCCTGCGACCAGTCGTCCCAGACAGGCCTTTGTTGTTGTAGATATCGTATTTACGTTAAACTGTAAAGGAAAGTGCTAATGTATACTTTAAATAAACAAAATGGTACCAAACAATTATAGACCTTAAGAGCCAGTGGCGTGACTAGCCGGGAACCGTAAAAAAAATTTTTGAATGCTTTTACGTAGGGGATTTATAAAAAGAGATATTTTTTTTCATAATAAAAAATTGTTCATGATCACTATTCCAATTTTTTTTTTTTGAAGTTTTACCCCACCCTAGGGTTTTTGTCTGAATCGTCTCATGTGTTGGTGCGTTTACAAATTACTTTAGTTTTTCAAAAGTTTCTGCCAACGTTTGGACGCATGCTTTACCGCGGAAAGAAAGAAATTGTTCATATTGAATTAAGTGACTTGTGAAATAAAATAAAAGTTTTTATAAATGTTTGCTTACGCACGTTAGGGCCCCCGTGGTCCAGGGGCCCCGTTTAATTGGTACTGCAAATACGGCGCTAGTTACGCCCCTGCCATGATAATTTCTAAATCTTAGCTTGCCAATACTGTTGATTCTAGCCTTCACATTAATTGATATTTTATTAAGTAAAGATTAAATTATAATTAAACAGAAACCATTTTAAGCACTTATTTGCTTGGCAAAACATTTCAAGCTAAATTAAACAAATTAATTGATTTAATGGTGAGTTATTTTGAATTAATCCTTGTAATTGTAACTAAACAAGTTGAAGACGATAAACCCTGAATAAAGGTTCATGAACAAGATGCTCTCATCAGTACAAATAAGGATTATTTTCTATACATCTGAAGTAGGTATAACACAAAGGTCTTTGAGATTGTTAATCTTGTTATAGTTATGTGGAAAACGTTTAGGCGGCATGGTTGGTGGTGCGGTGGCTAGGCAACCGACTGCCACCCAACGTGTCGCGGGTTCCATTCTCGCTCGGAGCAACTCTATGGGTGATCCATAAGTTGTTGTTCTGGGTCTAGGTGTCATGTGTATGTGAACTTGTATGTTTGTAAACGCACCGACGACAAAGGAGAAAATCCTAGTGTGGCGCAACCATTTTTAAAAGAGAAAGATATCATCATCATCATTAAGAGACCATGAGACTCCAATGCTCGGTTACGGCCTACTATATAAAAGATGGGTTTGCCATAATCTCCACAATAAGGAAACAAGCACAGATACCCATAGAATTCTTTTTCCCAGAATTGTTTTAGACTTATGACTATTTTACCCATCACCTCTACCTAAACCATCTCTTAACTAAAACTTAATAGTGTTACATAGCACCTAAACAGTAACAGGTGTTCACATAGGTTAATGAAAACTAGAATATCGTTAAATGCCACCTACTTAAACTTAGGGATTTAGCGTAGCGGGAAGTTAGCGTAAAAAGGCGTTGTTGTTTTTCACAGAAACAATAAAGCCTTCAGAGAACTTCTTATAAATCGATAACTACATAATAGTCTTTTACTTAATTTATATATTTACCCGATCCGCTCATGCTTAGTCATCACTAAGCAGTGCCATCGCACTGTCGATCACTCTATTACGTACCTACAGAAACGACACTTAAGCAAAACACACAAAAAGTTAAAATCAAAACAAAAAGTCAATAATCAAACCTACCAGTTTATCAAACAACGTTTGGGAGACAAAATGTCTCAAATGACTGCGAAATCATACAAAATGGATACCGATTCGATTTAGACTCGATATTCGTCATCCATTTGTGAGTGTAAACAGGGTGTTCTGATTACAACAAACATTCAATTTGATTATTCCAAGTTTAATCATTTAAAGTGCTTGTTTCTGTTATCTATCGATCAATTTGATACTTTGCTTGACGCTGAGTTTAAACACTGATTGGGTAAAGATTAGTGTGTAAATGAGTTGTGGTTTGTTGAAAAACTTAGTTGAATATTTAAACCATATTAGGCTATAAACCGTATTAGTTAGTAATTAGAAATGGATTTACAACAACTGCTCACTTAACATCATCTGCCTTATAAGTTCTCACTGTTGGACAAAAATACCTGTTCTCAAACTGAGAAAAAATGGTAATTGGGCCTCCGGTAACCTCACTCACACAACGCAGGCGTTGTTTCACGTCGGTATTCTATGAGGCCGTGGTATCACTCCGGTCGAGCCGGTCCTTTCGTTCCAAAGCATGGCTCTCCAACACTTTCATGTCATTTCCAACTTATAATTTAGTAAGTACAAGCAGACACACAATAAATCATGTTAATATTAACAATTTTTATGAAATATTGTACAAAGAAACATAAAAATCTTCTTCAATTGACAACGTTTTGATTAGCATGAAGTTTAAAAAGGTGTAATTTTTTGATGAAATTAACCTTCCAATCTTACAATAAAACTAGAAATAAATGATTGAACCAAATATACCTAAATACGAATTAATTCTCCACAAAGGTCAGAGTTAGTAAACATAACATAACATCACGCCTTTATCCACGATGGGGTAGGCAGAGGTGCATATTATGCCACTACAATGTAACACCCACTTTTCACTATTTATGTTATGAGTCCCAAGTAATAGGGGGTTAGCCTATTGCCATATACCGGGCACATTTCCAAACTCCGTGGTACTACTGAGGTTTTTTACAAACCCAGTAATACTTTGCCCGACTCGGAAATCGAACCCGAGACCCCTTGCCCGGCAATCGCATTTGCGACCACACAGCCAAGGAAGCAGAATTAGTAAACTTTTTTCTATTACACCTACAATATTTTTTCTACTTTATTACCAAGGACGTTGAATAAAGGCAGACACAGTCTCTTGAAACCACTACTTAAAGACTTATACGCAGAACATAAACACATTGACACGTAGGACATCTGTCATTTTCCTAAGTCTGGTAACGTGATAACCCATTACACACGCACACATAAATATACCACTGACATTTTGGTGCTTCAATCATTTCTAAATGAGATTATGTCCGCTTTTTTTAATTATATTTTATTACTATTGAAAAGTACAAATGTTTCGAAACCATATTCTTAACAATAGGCCCAGCACAATCTTATCTTTACCCTTATAAGTTAATTTTATTATTATTTTTTATTTTTATATACTCTGTATTTGTGTGCCTATTTGTCGAATAAATGCTTTCTTTCTTTCTTTCTTTCACAACTGTTAACTAAACATACAACTTTGTACACTCGACTTCAATTTCCCGTTAAACCCACGTTTATTATCAAAACAAACTGTACAATCTCGAAACCAATTAATTAATTATTTTAAAACAAGATGTCTATTGTAAATATTTGCTTTCAACGGCCAATCGAGTATCGGAGTTTTCATTAGAATTAAAAGAACAAAACATCTTTTGCAAACATTGCCGATGTAGAAGGAAAATGTTTAATGTGAAGTTAAATGAAAATTTTATTTCTGTGTGGATTACATTTTTACCTTTTACAATGTTACCTTGATACAATGATTAAAAATTAGTATGATAGAGTGGATACAAAAGCTTAGACTTAAAGTCCAAGAAGTTAGATAAATTAATCTACACTAATATAGTAAAGAGCATTTGAGTTTTTGTTTATTTTTATTGAATAGGCTAGGTAACTAACGGACCGATTTGAAAAATTCTTCTACCGTTCTTTTAAGCAATAAAAGGTCGATATACTTTAATAAGAGAAATAAAAAAACATGTAAAAATTTTGATAATTTAACACGATGTGTTAAAAAGTTACCAAAAATCTTCTTATATGACTAACGCTGTAGAAATGATTGACAATAGGGCAAAGTGATGCAGTAGAGTTTAATAGTAGTCCAGGATATCATACGTTTAACTTTTCAGTTATATCTTCTATCTACTATCATAATACGACTGACACGACAAATACGACAAATGCGACAAATGCTGTAAATACGACAAATGCGACAAATACGACAAATACGACAAATGCGGCAAATTCGACAGATGCGACAAATACGACAGACACGACAAATACGACAAATGCGGCAAATGCGGCAAATGCGGCAAATTCGACAAATGCGACAAATACGACTGACACGACAAATGCGATAAATACGACTGACACGACAGATACGACCGACACGACAAATGCGACAAATACGACCGACACGACAAATACGACAAATACTACAAATGCGGCAAATACGACTGACACGACAAATACGACAAATACGACAAATCCGACAAATACGACAAATGCGGCAAATGTGGCATATTCGACAAATAGACCGACACGACAGAGACGACCGACACGACAAATGCGACAAATACGACCGACACGACAAATGCTGTAAATACGACAAATGCGACAAATACGACAAATACGACAAATGCGGCAAATTCGACAAATGCGGTAAATACGATAAATGCGACAAATGCGACAAATACGACTGACACGACAAATGCTATAAATACGACTGACACGACAAATGCGACAAATGTGACAAATACGACTGACACGACAAATGCGACAAATACGACCGATACGACATATACGATTAATACGAAAAATACCACCGACACGACAAATGCGACAAATACGACAGATACGACAAATTCGACAAATGCGACAAATGCGACAAATACGACAAATACGACCGACACGACAAATACGACCGATACGACAAATTCGACAGATGCGACAAATACGACAAATACGACCGACACGACAAATGCGACAAATACGACCGACACGACAAATGCGACCGTCAAAACAGATACGACTGACACGACAAATGCGATAAATACAATAAATGCGACAAATACGACAATGCGACAAATGCGACAAATGCGACAAATGCGACAAATGCGACAAATACGACAAATACGACAAATACGACCGACACGACAAATGCGATAAATACGACAAATACGACAAATACGACTGACACAACAAATGCGATATATACGACAAATGCGACAAATACGACAATGCGACAAATGCGACAAATACGACAATGCGACAAATGCGACAAATACGACAAATGCGACAAATGCGACAAATACGACAAATACGACAAATACGACAAATACGACCGACACGACAAATGCGATAAATATCAGCCGTGTTACAGACACGACTGAAACTAAAATTTATGTGTTTGTACTATTGATATAACCGCTTTTTATAATATGTATATAAATACGACAAATACGACTAATACGACTGACACAACAAATGCGATAAATACGACAAATGCGACAAATACGACAATGCGACAAATGCGACAAATACGACAATGCGACAAATGCGACAAATACGACAAATGCGACAAATGCGACAAATACGACAAATACGACCGACACGACAAATGCGATAAATATCAGCCGTGTTACAGACACGACTGAAACTAAAATTTATGTGTTTGTACTATTGATATAACGGCTTTTTATAATATGTATATGAATATACATACGAAACCAAAATATTTTATTTTGTCTATCTATTTATACAGACAATACTGGTAGGTAGTTGATACTGAGGAGTAACATCGGCGGTTACTTTAATTTTTGAAAATAGAAACAAAATATAGTTAATATGTCCTTTAATTCATATTCTACGCGGACATAGTCGCGAGTAAACGCTCGTGAAATATAAAATTGTCTTTAGATTTCTCAGTTTTTCTTTTTCTTATAAGTGTGAGAAAATTGCACTATGGCTCATTATTGTCATTTAGCTGTAAGACAACCACCATTGTACCTACATACGCCTTTCCCATTATCTTTCAAACTTCATTTATTTTTTCAATAAATAACATAGCATACCATCACTTCACGCCTTTTTATCCCCTATGGGCTAGCCAGGTTCTTAATGCCACTGTACAATGTAACACCCACTTTTCACTATTTATGTTAAGAATTCCATGTAATATGGGGTGAGCATATTGCCATACACAATACAATTTCATACTCCGTGTTACTACTGGGATTTTTTTTAAAAACATAGTAAGACTTTGCCCGACCCCGGAATCGAACCTCCGTGCCCGGCAGTCGCACTTGCAACCACTCGGCCAAGGAAGCAGTTTTTTTGGAAAACAAAAGATAATGAGAGGAGGTTCTCAGGATTGGAAATTAGTAGATTTCGGATAATAATTGTATTTCGAAAAACAACACTCACTGGAATTACTGATTAGACACAAGGTTACAATAATGGGTACAGTACAGCGGGTAGAACTTAATATTACACATGTATGCCTAGTAGGTGCGTAAGCGGAGCGTAAAGACTGACGACGCGAGCGCCGCGGTCTCCGGGGTTGCAAAAGAAAGAGCCACTAACATATGTCTATCTTACTCAACATATCTTAGTGGTTTACAATCACGCGTCACCCTCATTGGTTGCGATGTATTCTGGTTGCTACAAAATGGAATTAGTGTATCGAAAGATAAATAAATGATTGATACTTTATTGATTCAAACTAATTAAATCTCTCCATTTATAAAATGGCAAGCCTAGGCCATATTATTTAAAATTTCTACCGTAGCAGTTACTATTTTTAACTTTTCTAAAATTTTACGGGCAAAGTCGAAAGTTGTATCGGTCTACCTGGATAGTTGCCTAGGTAATTCAGTTATGTTTATTTCTGGCAGCGGAGGCCATATGCATTTGGTACGAATGAGTTATACGAAACTAGATGAAGCTGCAGTATTTCTGTGTTCTTTTTTTTTAAATTATGAAGTATAGTTTTATTTTTTGTTGCCTTTATATTGCTAATGGATAAGTTCTGTCTACTTATATATTATTTATGTTATAAAATTCGTGAGACATAGTAAATTAATCATTGTGCTTTTTGGCTTATTCGCGTAATTATATGACGAGGAACTCGACTAGTCTCAGTAACAGGGTGACAGTCGACCGCGTTGCGAGTCGCGGAATGCTGCTCATAAATATAAGCCTCTAACATTGCTTCAAACTAGTCGAGTTCCTCGTCAAATAATTACGTGAGTAAGCTGAAATACATAATTACCTAATACTTTGATACTAAACATTAACTAAAATCACGGGTTACTCACGTGAATATACCGAGAAAAGCTCTCAAAAGGAAGAACCCCTCTGTGGTTCGAAACTAGTATAGGTTTTCTCAATATATTCACGTGAGTAACCCGTGATTTTAGTTAATTTAGCATACTAAATATTATATACTATGACATATATCTCACGATAGTTATTATAAAATATACTAAACATCCATTATTTTGTCTTTGATGCATTTACTGATGCATATTTTCACAAACATGCAATGCGCCTGTCACTTGATACATGCTACGAATCATACCTGAAAATCATAGGTATATACATATACTTACAAATCCATCGAAAGTAGTACTTGATTAAGCGAAAATTTAATATTTTATAAAAATTCTAAACTCCGCTAAGTCAAGATAGGCAGAAAACTACTTAATCAATTGAAAACCAAAGAAAACATAAATAAATCAGACCACCATTAAAATTCTCCACCGCACAGAAACATCGTAAAACGTTGAAAACATTTCAATATGGTGGAAATTCTATAACCAGAGTAAACTAGATCACGTTGCAAATCGTTGAGAGTGCCTGTAAATTTTGTTACTCAGTCCCGTAAAGCCGAATTAGGCCGAATCAGGCCGAATCAATTCCGAAGTCGAACTCACGTGCCTAAGGCAAAGGGAACTCCAGTTTTATTTGTGCCCCGGGCTTTTTAAGACCCCACTGTAGGAGGATATCTGATGAATATAAATAGGAAGTTATTGTAGCTGTCATCTATTTGTTTTCGTCTACGGAATACGTATTGTGGATTGCGTTCTTTTGTTTTTAGTTTTTTTGGTACGTTTTTTATTTGTGAATTTTATAAAGTCGACTTTAGTATATATTATGTATAAATTTTAGCCTAGGGACGGTTTTTATTCATGTTTCCTAGAATTCATAGTATTTTACTTTCCATCAAGGAGGTTTATTATAACGCAGGTCGTAACTGTCTAGATTTTTGATTCTACTAAGATCCCTTGACAATGTTCCCTCTAATATAAAGACAAGCCATTTATAACAACCGAAAGTGTTGTCGCGCATTGCCAAAATTTCGTCAGGGTGACCTTGACATAGTTACAAACGTAAATCCCTACAAACGTACAAAAATTGCATTGCTGGGACTCTTATTGATTACGATTTTCACAGGATTTTTAACTCTGACCTGGTTTGCTCAAATGATTGATATTTTTTTATGGCATAAGCCGGTAAACGAGCAGACAGATCACCTGATGGTAAGCAATCGGTGTCGCCCATGGACACCTGGATCACCAGAGGCATTACAAGTGCGTTACCGGCCTTTTGGGGATTCGGGGATTGGGGATATTGGGCAAGGGGAGGGTAATTGGGCCTCCAGTAACCTCACTCACACGACGAAACACAACGCAAACGTTGCTTCACGTCGGTTTTCTGTGAAGCCGTGGTATCACTCCGGTCAAACCGGCCCATTCGTGCCGAAGCATGGCTCTCCCACACTTTGTTGTTGTTTCATTTTCTATATGATTGTTAACAAATAAAACAGACACCAATGTCTGTCTGATAAAATTACCAATAATTTTATCTCCCATATTGAGGAAGTACAATATTTTATTACGAATAAGAATATAACTGAAACCCTTGTTACATAATTCACCTTCAGGCCAATATCCGAACATTAACTACTGTTAGTACTGCGTACATTTTTTCATTTCCAATCTCTATGGAAAATATTACGGACAGTTTATGCTAAATTATTTGGTAATATGGCCGACCCAACAGTTCAATTTGTGTAATATCGCCAAGTTTATTGTAAGTATAATGTTATGGTTAGGTCTTAAATTATTCCCTGTAAACTTGTATGCTGGCATTTTCTTCTTATTCGAAGAAATATGATTCGTTTGTATGTAACTGCTTAATAGTAATTTAACCTTGTTATTCTTATTCGAATACTAGCTGTTGCCCGCGACTTCGTCCGCGTAGAATGTGAATTTTAGAACATAACTTTTTTTGTTTCAATTTTCCAAAATGAAAGTAGCCTATGGTAACATATGGTAACGCTGATGTACTTAAAGAGTAATCTTTAATTACATACAATAGTACCTGCTACCTGCAAATAAAAGTCTTGCAAAATAGGTGCAGCCATTCTGGAGATGAACCAGTACAAACGGACAGACAGCCAGACAAAAATTGTAAAAAATGTTATCTTGGCATGTGTATCGTATTTGCATGCATGTAGTAAAAAGCGGTTATTTTAATTTTACAAATGTACACTCCAATTATATTTATCTTTATAGATAGGTAAGGTATATGTATTTG